TAACTTATTGAGAGCATTCAGAATCTTACTCAACTCATTCTCAAGCTTTTTCTGTACCTTTTTTATTTTTTCAAGTTGATGTGAGTTTTTTTGCTCCATTTGTCTAGCTCTGACTCTGTGTTATATCGGTGGGTAAGTTTTTTACTAGATAGAGTTATCCTTGAATCTTGAATACCATATCTTAGAATTAGCAAGTTTATATGACTATCTCATGGTTATTTTGTTAAATGTAATGAATAAGAATGCAATGAATGAAAATGCATGCATGCAAAGAACATTTACGATAAGATAGTGTTCAACCAAAAGATTTCATTTGTTCCAAAGAACTTTGTTTACATAGAATTTATCATCTTAGAGTTATAACCATAGAATAGTTTGATCTATATACTGGTCTCTTACTTCCTCAATGAAATTCAACAGGTGCTATCTATGTTCCCCTACTGGGGCCACCACTTACTTCAATACTTCTTCCTCTTCGATCATTTCTCTTACCTTACATATCTCTTTGTAAATTTGAGTTGTTAAGTGCTCAATATACTTCTATCTTCTCAGGTTTTCCCTTTTACCACACCATACTTGGTATGATAACTCTCTATGCTCTCTAACCAATACAGCAATATAGTCTTCTTGTTCATTCAACCTCTATTTTAACCTACTTAGATAACTATTTAACATGTTAATTTTTATTTGTACCTAGGTACTTTTTTCTTCTAATTCAGCATATTCTTGCTTCAACCACTCATTTTCATTAGTCAGTTTAGTGATTGTTATCTCTTTAGCTTTAACCTTTACACACAACTTCTTATATTCATGGTGTAGCTTCGCTAGGTCTTTAAAGGTTGTATCACGTTCTTAGCAATCTTACAAACTTTGACTTCATATTTTTTAGCTCTATCTCTCCACTAATCTCTCTTCTCTTGAAGCTTCTGGATTTTTTGCTTCAACTCATCTCTTTCGATTTCAAAATTTTTTTTTTGCAAACTCCAATTCTGATGGTATTTCTTCAAGCTTTCCTCTTATTGGTTATTGGCAGTCTTGCTCTCTAAATCAAGTACTCATAAGTGATCTTCCAAGACTCACCTTATGGGGGTTTTTTCACGCTTTAATCATATCATTCATCCTCTGAAATGCTTTTAGCTCACTGTAAGAAAATTTTGATTGATAAAACTTATGTGTCATGAGAATGAACTGTTCTGTCCCAAACTGTCTTCTCACTAGAAGTGGCGCATAACTTGTTGCTCTCTATAAACCTAGAAGTAGAACCACAGTGTTACCTCCACACTAATATAGCATAGGTTCATGATTCATCCATGGGACTAACCATCTTACCTTGATACTTGTTAGCTTTTGTAAGAAAGCTATCCATTCTTTTTTAGACTTTTGTTCTGGCCATTCGTTTTCACAAAATTCTTTAATTGAAACTCGGTTATGAAAATACAATTTTGAGCATACACTTTTCTTACACTTAAAATGGCTTTTCATCTATAAATACAATAGTTGTATATAGCTTGTAAAATGTCTTTCATTTTGGTTATAATAACTCAAAGATCTGACAGTCTCTACTAATATTACTGCTAAAGGGTTATAGCCATTGATCACACTTTCGAAAAAGTTAATCACTATTATTTCAATGTAACCTAAAACCTTTGAAAAAATTGTCATTTCGTATATGACTAAGGCAAACACGTCTAACCCCTGCTATTCGTCGGCATGTTGTACTAAAAAATCATGAAAGAACTTCCAAGATAGGTAAACCTATTCTTGTTTCTTCTTTGTATGCGAATCCACAATCTCCTTGTCTATCCCCATAAGATGAGCTAGATTTTTATGAAATCTCGATTTGTGTTTTTTGACATATATCTTGCCAGGAGTTTTAAGGTGCAGTCACAACAAAATTGAGTATTCTTCAATGGTTGGTGTCATATCAACTTTATTGAAGATGAAACATTTGTATGAAGGATCTCAGAATTACACTGCAGCTCTAATTAGTTGATTCTCAACATTCACTGCAAGAAGGTGTGCTATATGTCCATGCCTCTGGTAAAACTCCTCTTATTTTGATGGACTCATTTTTTTCCATATACCAAGTAAATCTTCTAAATTATTTTGTTTGAGGAGGATGGATGTTTCTTGAGACAAGATGAAAGCATAACTGATTGGTAGATAATCCCCTTCTTTTTACTGAATCCTTTCTGATTAAACCTTTACTTCGTTGGGTGCCTCACAAGGAACTAATACAGATGAAGAGCAAACTAGTCGTTCTGTGGAGTCCATGAAAAACTCTTGGTTGTTGAAAACCGTCTTCCAAGCAAATGTTCTTTATGCAATTTTATGATATGAGCATGAATCAATACAAAGATGAATAAGAGAAGAGGTTATTACACCAAATAAATAACTAATTAAAAACATCATACAACTATAAAAGGAAGATGAAATCTTTATTTTTGGTCAATTTAAGGAAAGAGATGGCTATTATCTATAAGTTAGGTGCTCTAAGGTTCACTATATGTGGTTCAAGGTTAAAAGTCTAAAGGTTCCTAAATTGCTCCTTACATCATTAAAAAAAGTCAATTAAGAGTTTTTAATTAATCAAACATGACTTTACCTGTAAGATATTTGTTTGCACATATATAATGACAATTCAAGAATACTGATTCTATACAGAAATTCAATAGTATTCTAAAAAAATCATATCAGATCGAGAAAAAATTCTTAAAACAATCATTTTTTACTGACGGAATATCATTCAAGGAAATAAGCTTGACAGCATCCTTCAAAATAGTTCTATTAACATTTTTCTTATGAATAAGGTTATTTCACAAATATTAATAAAGTATAAATAGGTTCAAAATCGTGACTTATTTAACTATACATTATAACATATCAGTTATATTTTATAAATTAAATAGACCACTAACTTTCAATTCCTACTACAATAGGCTTAACTTCAGCAAAAAAAGAATTATCTTTTCAAAATTTTAATTTTATTTTCAGAATTAACCAAATAACAAAGTGAACTTTCAACTGCAAAATAAATTTTTGGCTCCTTTTTTTAAATTCTAAAATCTCACAACTCATCAAAAATATATTAAAAAAGAATCATGAAAAAAAAATGCTTACTTCAAAAATTTCGATAAATAAGAAAAAACACACATACTCCGCTGGATCAAGCTCTTAAAAGAACGGAGTCATTTTTAGCGGCTAATTTAAGTGATAATAAAATCTGTTGGTCCACCTAGAACTAGCTTCAGCCTTCTTTCTACTCTTTTCCCTTCAATTTTTCTCTGGGTCTCTTTCTAGATGCGAAGAACACCGAGGAATTTCTCACTGGTTTTTGGGTTTTATCACCGAAAACTGGGTTTTTGTCTGAAAAGTTGTCAAAAAACTTGAATTTTGCCGAAAAATTCAACGAAATATGGAATTTTCCAAAACTTTTTCAAAAACAAAATCTCCAAAAATTCAAAAAAAAATTTCTAAAATGCTTAAGACCACTTCTGCACTTCTAAACACCTTTTCTTTTTTTTTTTCTCTCTCTCTATTTCTTTTGTGTCTTGTGATTTTTTTTTTTGTTTCGTGTGTGTTTTCTGACCTTATTTATAGGGCTTCAATCCAAGAGCCCTAAACCAGATAGGATTTTCATCCTTTCTGACTTCTAACTCCAAATCCTAATTCAGTTTAAACTTCTTAACTCAGTCTTTCCCAAATTCAACCACTTTTTTCATATTTTTAACCTTTTCATTTTTAGTTAATTTTTTTTATTTTTTAACAAAAATCAAATGTAAACCCCTTAGACAGATTGGGATGTCTACAAGTACACAAGTAGAAATTTTTTGCTTTGTCAGGACTTGGGCATCGAAAAAATGAGGGTGACATTTTAGCACTTGATATGAACTTGTCATACTTTACATGATTTTTGTACATGTGATCTTCACTTAGGTATCTCTGTTTATCTGTTGGGAATTATATGACGATGTAAAAAGTAATTTTTTGGTGCAGTGTTTAAACTGGCTAATGTAAGGGATAAGTCATTCTTTCTTTTTATATTGTTTAATTTCTGTGTAAACATTTGATTGTTCAAAATATGCACTTATAATGGCTTATTAATCCTCTTGCCACATGGAATGATTCAATATGCTGAAATTTTCTTGCAATCAATGTGTGGCTGGGGTAAGTGAAATTTGCCCAAGCCTTACTGTTTCCTGATCTTTCTTTCATGTTCAAGAGCAGACTGATAATGGAGGAAGAGAGATGAATTCCTTACAACTTCAGTTTACATTTTACTTGTATTCTGTTTTTGCAATTGGGTCTGTAGACACTGGATTCCTTTATGATTTTATTTTATTTTTTAATTTTATGGTGTTCTTTCCCCTTGGTTTTTTCAGGTTAGAGAAATTAATTTGCTCGATGAAAACAGCGTGCAGCTTGGTGAGAAGATTCCAAGGAATGCAAGGTATTCTTAGGAGGAAACTCTGCAAGTTAAAATCATTTTTTAATTATGAATTTTATTGCTTTCTGAATAATATTCATGAAATTAACAAGCAGCTCCACGTTGACGCTCAGACGATTTTCAAAAGAGCAGCATCACATCAATATTGAGTAAAATTGGAACTGGTCCAATCCATTGAAACGGTTCTTCAGTTTTGACACATTAGCAGCATTCTTTAGTGGTTCTTTTTTCTGCTTTGCTCTCTTTTCTCAACTGTTGGTGCAACAAGTGCTAATCCTTTCATCAAATCGACCAGCCGGTTGCCCGATCGGAGATCCTTATTCTGGTATGTCACTCAACTCATCAACCAGACAATGCAACAGAAGAGAGGAGATTTGTTTTTCCCACAACAAATTTGAAACACAATAAAGAGGAAGGAAGCCATTCACCCAACATATTGCCAGTGATAGGAAGAGACTATCTAATAGTTTCTCCTGAATCATGTTATAAATTAATTATATTGTTCACGTAATAAATTACCAACCACATGTTATTTATTTGATGCATTTATGAATTCAATTGGATTTTTACTTGTAAATATTGACATTTTGTTATATGTGGTATGATATTCCATTAACATTTTTTACCCATATTTTGTTATATTATGAATTATAGTGTTCATCTTTCTATAACCCATGAAGTACTGTTCAAACATAGAAGACGTACAAATTATCTAAATTATTTCATTAGTTGTTGTGACATAAAGCATTCCTTACTTCTCTCCAGATAAAGCAAATATCGACCAAACCATAGCTGAGAAGAAATCCCATTTAAAATACCCAAAACTTTGAACCATCAGATATTACAGATTCCTTCAAGCACCTTGTTTTGTCGACTTCATAAGCTCTATGAATTCTCTAAAAGCTGTAGCATGAAATAACTTTGATTTGAGCAAAAAAGTCTTTTTAACAAACATAGAATTCTCTAAAAAGACTAAAATCAATTTGTCAAGATTAGGTGTAGGAAAGAAATTCATACCACAATCTGAATCATGAGGTCCTGGGGATGCTTCAGGATGGTATTGAAGAGACATAATGTTTAAAGCAGGATACGCTAGACCAGCACAGCTTCCATCATTAAGATTAACATGAGTCAGTTCTACACCCTCAGGAAGTGATGCAGGATCAACTGCATAGTTATGATTCTGCCAAATCATAAATTCTAAGCTGAAAACATAACCCAAAAGATATAGTGCAACTTTAAACACATCTGAGCTGAATAACCTAGCACAAGTACATCCAAACTTATAAATACTGCAATCAATAACATTGCCAATAAATACATGAACAAGATCCACAATATACAGCGAATATGTCAGAACTTATTTATTTCTTTTGTGTGTGTGTGTGTGTGTTTGTGGAGGCTGAGGGTTGGTGGAGTGAGGTTGGTTCATTCCATGGTAAAATTTAAATCCATGCCGATAACACTATACTTGCAAACAAGGGCTGTATCTATAAACTAATTATTCAATGGAAACAATTTGGCTACTTAAACAAACCTGAGCACTAATCTCAACACGACCATTCCGAAGGTTGCGAACAGGATGATTTCCTCCGTGGTGGCCAAACTTCATCTTAAAGGTTTTACCACCCAAAGCCTGCCCTAGTAACTGATGGCCCATGCAAATTCCAAAAACAGGAACTTTTCCCAGAATTTCCTTGACTGTTTCAACAGCATAAGGAACTGCAGATGGATCTCCTGGACCATTGCTGAAAAGAACTCCATCTGGCTTTAGCTTAAGGGCTTCAGCTGCAGACCATGTGGATGGGACAACAGTGATTTTACAGCCATAAGATGCTAAGCGTCGAAGTATATTATGCTTGATCCCAAAATCATAGGCAATAACCTTCAATTTAAAAGGAAATGGAGAAGTGTAAGAGCAGACACAAAGCAAGGATCTAAAACTCCGACTTAAACTTTCAAAAATATAACTAACTCTATAAGTCTGTCGATCTCTTCCATTGGAGTTGAAGTCCCATTCTGATTTTGTTTTATCAACCCACTCATAAGGGGCATTGCAGGTAACGCCACTTATTAAATCAATACCTGCAAAATAAATAAGAGAACAATAGGGATATAACTAATTTTATCCCTTTAAAAATGCTCATGACTTTTAAAATAGATATGGCTATTCTTACCTACAATGTCCCACGAATGTGACATTTCCAAAAGTTCTTCATCACTTCTAGATAGTTCTGTGCTTAAAACCCCAATAAGACTGCCATCTTGCCTCAATCTGCGGGTGATTGCACGTGTGTCAACATCATCTGACATTTTAGGAAAGCATCAAGTTCAAAGGATGCCAAAAGTTACGGCCAAAGAATGAACAAATTTATCATCAGCGTGTCATCTAAAGTTAAGCAGTTTACTAACTAGATATCAAGTGCCATATATACAACTTACAGATTCCCATAATATTTCTTTCTGCTAAATAGTCACCGAGGGTTTCCACACATCTCCAATTTGAAGTACTGCAAATATTTAATTAAAATTTGATAAACAAATGAGTAAACTTTTTGTGCCAAAGCTGTAAATTGCATATCTAAGAAATTAAAAGGAGAAAAGTTACTTAATACTTAGACTTCTGATCACCAGACCAGCAAGAAAGCACTGCCTCGATTCTTCATCATCTAATGGGGTAGGCATCAACATCAGATCATATATAGTTTTCAACAAGTCAGAATTGCAATGATTCAGAAGGTAAAATTCACTTACCAAAATTTACTCCAGTATTGCCAATATGTGGATTGGTCATCAGGACAAACTGACCAGCATAACTAGGGTCTGTTAGAATTTCCTGATACCTGCACAACAATTATATTTTGGCCATGCATTAGACAATGCATACAGATAATAAACTTCATTTTCCCAAAGTCCACACTCTACGGAGAAGTGTCTAAACAAAGACATAACAGATATAAAGTTCTACAACTTCACTGCAAAAGAAATGACAATCCTAAAACAATCTTTAAAAACAACAAGGAAACTAAAATTCCTTTGTTCAATACTCAACAATTACGCATCAACAAGTAGGAATTTCTTTAATTTAGTTTAACTTATAAAGAGAAACTAAAATTCAAAAGACTATGTCATCTTACCCTGTTAAAGAAGTGTTGAAAACCACTTCGCCGACTTGGGTTCCAGAGGCACCAAAAGATTTGGCCCTCCAAATGGAACCATCTTCAAGAACCAGCCTAGCATCCGCTAACTTCCATGGCCTCTCCACCAACCCTAAAACCACCCACCACCAAAGATTTTTCCACATTTTTCCAAAACTATAAAGGAAAAAAAGAGAGACAAAATTTAGAAGGAAGAAGTGAAAAAAGTGTTTACCAGTGGCGGCACCGTCAGAGGAGAGAGTGAGGGAACATCTAACAGTGAGAAATCTAAGTTTGGAGGAAGGTTTTGGTGGGTTTTGGGCAAAGCAAAAAGATGGATCGATTCTGAGTGAAAAATCCATTGCTTTCATGCCCATTTTTAATCTGAAAATGGTGTTTCTTGTAGAGTTTTATTCGGTGTGAGTTACAAAGCTACTAATAATAAACCTTCTTTCGGGCTTCGGTGAACGACGGATCCAATATTTCAAGTTAAGGGACGAAATTAAATAACAATTATAATTTAAAATTTTTCACTTAATATATAATATATTTTATCAAAAATTATAAAAAAATTAAGTAAAATATAATATTTTTATAATATAATCATAAATAAGATATATATAAAATTTAAGTGTTAAAAATTAAAAATTATATAACTATTTAAAATAAAAGAAACTCAGATAATTTTATTTAAAACTATGCATAACAATCTTTTATAAAAAAAAAATTTATTAGACTAAAAAATTTTAATAAATTTTCTCTTAATGTAATTAACAAGATTAAGTTTTTTTTTTCAATAAATATTCATAATTTTTTTCATATTTAAAATTAAAAAAACTTATAATTTATTATTAATAATTTTAAAATAAAAAAATACAGTGATCAATGGTTTTATTATGAAAGAAGTTTTAATCATCTTTTGTACCTTCATTCTAATTCACTCTCTAAAAAAAAGAATACACCTTTTTTACAATAACTATAATGACTTGGTGCTAGATTAAGTTTTTAAGGAGTAAGATTTAGTGTTAGGTTCAAGTTCTTAGGGAATAAAATTTGTATCTCTTTGTGTTATATTAATCTCACTTTTTTTTGGTTAAATTTCTTTAAATAATTTTAACTTTTTAATGTAGGTCATATTTAATAAATATATTTATTTTTTAATTTTTTAATAAGAATTAAATTATAAATATTAATACTATTTACAAATTAATTGAAATTTGAGAACTAAATTTTTTATCTTAAAAGTTTTTTTTAAAAATTATAAGTATAAATTATAATTATAATTAAATAATCAAATAAATAAACTAATCAAAAAATTAGAATATAATTAATAAATCTAATATAAAATTAAAATAAATCCACTTATAATGAAATTTGAAACTAAAATCTCAAAATTTTAAACGTTTATAATTACAAAAAACCAACTTTTTATTTTTTAAGAGGAGGGCCATTTTTAATTTATAAAAGAAACACTTATAAATTATATGCACATTGTATCAATACGTATTAGAGGGTTTGAAAAATCCCCCCTCTGCCTTGTTTCGGCTAAAGACAGTTGAACAATGGCAGTTCTGAAGAGTGTGACTGCTCATACAAAAGATTTTGGTCGGTTTTTGGAGAGAGATTGGAAAATCAAATGGGTTGGGGCTTCATCAGCAGCCTCTTTCCTTCTTCCGAATCTTATTTGTGATTTTCCTTTTTTTTTTTTTCTGGTATGAGAGACAAGTTCTTTAGTGTTTATTTTTTTCATTTACGAAATTTAAAATTGAAATTTTACTTAAAAAGAATAAAACTTTTTATCATCTGGATCAACAAGAATATATTATTTTCATTTTTAATATAAAAACAATGACCCTACTCCAAGAAATGGGGAATAGACCGTAATTGGTGTTCTTGGGTGAGAACCAGGAATGGGGCATTCGTTGATTTCAAAAGTGAACATTTCAAAAATGAAAATATTTTACAAGATTAATGGGCCCTAAAAACCCAATACAGGCCATAGCAATAATATGGTCCATTGGTGTGTTCAGGTTCGAAGCAGGTTTCATCAACTCAGTGTTTTTCTGATAAACCCAAAACCTCAATTCTTTCATTTTCTTAAACACAATTTCTTCAGTTTCTCTGATAGACCCTTTAAACCCCAGGCGAAAAACACCATGATCCGAATCGCTAAAAACCCAAAACCTCTAACAACACTGAGTCACCAGCTCCTCCAACGCTGCACCGTCAGCGGAACCCCCAAAGGCAAATCCAAACTCAAAGCTGGCCAACCTTTAAAACGCTCCAAAATCTCCACTAAAATAAAGGCAAAGGCGGCCCTCCTGTCGATGATTTTCTCCCTAAAGGTGGCCGTATCCCCGATGAAAAGCAAAGACTCTACGAGCAATGCCTCAATGCACCCACGCCGGTCCGTTACCTCTCACCCAAGGAGAGAGCACGCGAAGAATTGGGATTAATAAACAAGGAAGGGTAAAGGGAAATGGAGATTTTGAAGAAAGGAGGAAGAAAAGCGATGGGGGTTCCTGATGAGCCTATGATAATGGGAACACCTAGGCTGGATTTGATTACATTGGGCCTTGTTGATGCTGATAAGATACCCAAATACGATCTGACAGTGGAGGCTGGACGGAGATTGGCTAAGGAGTATAGTCGGGTTTTGATGAGGAAGCATAAGGCAAGGCAGGCGGCTGAGACTAATTTGTTGAGATTGAAAAAAAAGGCGATTGAGGCTCTGTCGGAGAATCTTAAGGAGGCGGCTTTGATACCGGATTTGACACCATTTCCAGCAAATCGGTTTATGGCGACTTTGACTCCGCCTATTGAACGGTATATTGAAAAGGTTAAGGAAGCGGCTAAGAGAGTTATGCGAAACAGAAGCTTAGGTAAAGTTTAGGTTGAAGGTAATTTCTTTTGGCTGTTCAAAGTGTTTTAATTTTAAAATTATAAGAATTGGGTTCTTGATGAGTTGCTATTTGTTTTAGAGTAAAGGCAGTTTTTTGTGATTAAAAATTTTATTTTTGAGTGACTGTGTATGCAAGTTCTTTTTTGGGTTGAATGTAATTCAGTTAAAATGAAAATATGAGTGAGTTGTGTTTTCTTGATATCAGTTAACCCATTTTGTGTTTGGATCAGAATGGTTGGGCAATTTCATTTCAATAAAATAGTAAGCTGATAACATTCAGAGTTCTTTTGAAGACACTAAAATTGAATAATCTCTAACTTGTAATTGATTTATTATAGGTAGAAGTGATATGTGGCTGGTTGATTTTTTTACTTGCTACCATTCAAACATAAATTTGTGAAAGAAAGGGCCTGCTTGTATGGCATCCCAAGGCTGGAAGGATACTATTTGTGACTGATTTTGCAAAATCAAAGATGTTCCATTACTTGATAGCTTTGTTTGAAACATTTGTTTCGACAATGTTTACTTGAAAAAGTACACTGTTGGATCACTAGTTCTTGAATTGCCAAATATAACAATATCCATTGTCAAGTTATGTTACTCAAAAAGTGTTTCCTGCTTTAGCTGAGTTCCAAGGAATGCACCCTGTTTTTGATCTTTAAAATCCACCACATTGGCATCCCTAAATTTTGGTAGTATTGGCATCTTGTTGTTCAATCTGATTTCCAATTTGGGAAAACTTTGAACATCTCTTCTTTTCTTTTCTTTTTTTTTTCCATATTTGTTGTGTTATAACAGTTGTGGGATTGTTAGATGAATTTAAAAACAATTGGAATTATCATCAATCTTTTTTTTTGCTAGGTGTGATTGGTCACTTGTAAAAATTTATCCTTTTAATAAAATCTTAAAATTAATTAAAATTTATTAAAAAGATAATTTTTTAGTCTTAGCATTCCCACAGTGCCTATTAAAAAATAGTACTAATTAATTATGTGGTATCATTTAATTTTGACAAAATAGTCGTAATTTTCATATTTATAAAATAATTTCCTTGACTATTTTTGTTTTCACTTTTATTATTTCACCACTTTTCCTTGTTTTTATATTATATTTTATTTAATTTAAAATTAACCCATTTTATTTAAGAAAAATGAATTAGAATTCTATTATTGAAAAAACTCTGAAAATATTTCAATACGTTAGTAACATTGAAAGAATTTTTCTCACATATGATTTTTTTAGAATCACTATTTGAATTTCTTTAGAATCTTATCTTAGGAGACTCTTATATAGGCGATGCAAATGATCTAACATTGGTGTGCATGTTTGATTCATCCCCTTTTAAAAAATGTTTATTGATTTTTTTATTATATTTCTTATAATTTTGTTTTTGAAGAAAATAAAAATTTTTATTATATTGAAAATTTTTTATAAATACTCCAATATGTTAATAGTATTTAAAAAAAATATCTTTTCACTTAGAAATTTCATAAGAATTACAATGCGAATTTCCTTAGAATCTCATCATCGAATAAAATTTTTATTTTCTTTTATTTTCGTTATTTACTAGTAACCTTTTTTTTAGAACACATACATTGTTTTGGAAAAGTTTATTTATTAATTTTTGCATTTTTATTATTTATTATTTATTTATTATTATTTTTTAAGTAGAAGAAAAAGGAATTTTAGTTGTATTGAAAAATTTAATACGCTGGTAGCATTTAAAAAAAAAGTTTTCACTTAGAGATTTCGTATGAATCACTATACGGATTTTCTTAAATTCTCATCATCGGATAAAAATTTTTTTCTTCATTTTTATTATTAATTCTAATTAAAATTTTTTATTTTATGGAAAAAGAAGGAAATTTTTTATTATTATTATTATTTTATTACTCTTTCATTTTTTTTGTTTTTATTTTTAAGAAAAATTTTGTATTTTTAATTTTATTTTGTAACAAAACTTAAAATTATAAAAAATTTAAACTCTATTTTTATATAAAAAATATTTCAGAACATGAAAATATTGAAAAACATAATAATAATAATAATAATAAACTGGCAATAAAATAAAATAATATAATATAATATTTGAATCGGATCGATCAACAATTTAGGGTAATTTACGAGTCATTCAATGATCTAGGACGATTTTTTGCAGTTTAAGTTGATTTAAATTCGATTCAATATCGATTAGATTAGATCGGTTAAAGCAGGTCAATCACAATTTTGGGTTAGGTCTTTGGGTTTACACGAATCCTCCCACTCCCAAATGATGTTTCAAATCTAACCATTTTTTCAGTAATAAAAACCAATTTTTTTTTCAAATCATTTCTTCCCTTTCTACAAAAAAAAAAAAAAAAAAAACCTTAAAGCTCTTAAAAATTTCCCAAGCTTTTTTTGAGAAAATGGTGGAGTGTTATCGCTCACCGTCGTTGTCTTCGGTTGTCAGCAATCGCGTTGATGGCTAAAAAAAATCTTAAAAAAAAACTCCTTGCTCCTTGTAACCTCGTGAACGTCGATTTAGCCTCCCTTTCACGAGAAAAATCCTCTAAAAGCCCAAATCGACCTTTATAGTTTTGGATGAAA